CATAATACCGAAAACGAAGGCTACGAAAGAGCGGAAGGAACTCTTGAAGAAACCACATCACTTATGCTACTAAGCCCAGTGTAGCAGCCAGATTGACCCTGGAAGTGTAAGTGGCAAATGTGCGATAGAATACGGTTTTTACTAAACTTAAAGTAGCTTTTTCACTGTAACTCTGACAGAAACTGGAATAAGTTTCAGCAAAAAAACAATTTGACAAGGTGCACTTTATATAGAACATCAATCTCTCGTAGGACCTAAAAAACTAATCCTGATACCGAACTAAAACATATCACTAACCTGGTAACCAATTGTAGCAACTGCTTCACCGGTTCGGGCAGAACTTTCAAATTCAACACCGTACGAGACATTACCACCACTTTTGTGATAATAGCAGAGATGCAGCGAATCCGAACTGAACATCCCACTCGCAATGAAATTTTGACCCGTATACCTTAAATTTTAAAAAATTATTGAAAGCTTATAAATGTATATTAGCGTAGTGCAAGACAAATATTTGCAAAAAAAAATTCTTTTTCCCAAGAACCTACGCGCATGTTGACTGTTATATTATCACACACCAAAATAGCTAACCTTCTTTTTCACCAGATTAAAAAAATACATTAAAAAGGGGGCAAAACAGAAGAAAATTTGTCTCCAAAGAATAAATTTTCCTTTCTTTTGCCCCCTTTTAAATGCATTTTTTACTGGCACCCATCCAACCCTTCCTCCCTCTCTCCCCTTCCTCCTCCCCTTTCCCTCTCACTTTCTTCCGGAGAAGCAAATATTTGAGGTGCAAACGCTAAGAGTTTCACTTGTCCATGCGTGCGCTAAAGATATGGCTTGCATAGATCCATCACTTCTATTTCTCATCCTTTAACTGCCTAAAGTTGGGAGAATCGGTGCTTGGGAACTACTTATAAATGAGTTTCACGCCTAGAACCAGTTTTTTTTCCTGTAATAAGTCATACACGTGTAAATGAAAACCTTCAACAAAATTGCCAGGTTAGCTTCCTAGGCTCACTCATCTAAAAAATGAAAAATAGTAATAAGAATGGAGTTATATTAATAATACATAAAAAAATTTTTATAAAATAGCTACTTTAATAAATAAGCAGTAAATAAATAATGAATATTATAAAAATAATGAATAATAATGAATATCAATGATAGTAGTAATTAATAATAATGATGCATAATAATAAATAATAATGATAATAATAATAATAATGGATATTGTAAAAAATTATAAAAATAATAATAACGCTAACCTCGCTTGATAATTAACAACAGAGAGTTGTCTTCCGGGCACTGGTACA